GAAGTGACTAGAACTTCAAATTTTTCTTTAACATACTTTCACCTGGAAGTAAAACCAAAAAGTCACACCTATTGCTGAGAAAGTCTGTAATAATATCTCTCTCCTAAAACACACAGTGGAAAATTAGTATTTTAAGTCAATACTTAAAACGTAATCCAGGCACAAATGTTTAACAAATGCCCTTTTTTTGTTGTTGTCAAACTGATACGGGAGTTTCTTAAAAAATCTACAAACTAGTAAACTGAATCCATACTGTTCTGTACTACATCAGGTATCACACTTCTTCAGTTGTAACTGCATTTTCTGAACAAACCCACTGTGCATTCCACAAATTTGATTCAGTACTTTAACCAAAAGGAGGCAGCAAACTACAATAGGTTTTAACACAGAGCCTAACAGCTAACTTTACAGTAGCACAGATATACTACTGTGATATTAACTGATGAATTTTACTAGAACAGTAACAAATGATATGCAACCTATTATTACAACTTAAGCTTTCCACAGGAATAAGTATTTTTAAAGCGACTAAATGATTATGCTACAGCTTAAAAGTTACCAGCTTTGTTCATAAGTAACTTATGTGCAGAAACAAAAAAAGCAGGCTTTTTTCCTCATTCTCATGTGGTGAAAAATGTACGACAGATAAAGGTCATAAGTGAGTTATGAAATAGCAAGCATAAAATATTCCTTAGGGAACAGTGTATCCGATGTATGAAAGTACTGTCAGTTAGAAGTGCCCAAAGGTTTTCTACTTTAACAGCTGGAAAAAAATTAATTTTATTTATTTTTTTTAAATATGAATGAAACTCAAGTGTAGAATCCTTCAGAAATGAATAAAACAAGACTTCATTCTTCACAAAACCTCCTCTTTCATAACTCAGGAAATAAGTGTTCAAGCAAAAACATCATCCAAGGTCACTTAAGTTCGTAGACTTACACATGTCAACCTATCTGATTAATTTTAAAGATCTAAAAATTACCCCATTTATCTCCAGCAAATGATCCATCTTCTTTTTGCAGGTTCTGTATATATTCAACAATTTTATTTACATCAATGACATGGAGACTATCATATAAGATAAGAATCTGGAAAGAAAGCCACAGTAAAAATCAAAGAGAAGCAAAGGTTTCTCAAACTTGTTTATTAAAAACAGTTTTTGGACTTGTAAGAGACTTTAACTGATTATAAGCAGTACTTGCTAAGATTTATTAAAATTAGATTTGATGCTCTGCAGTTCATCTATCACTAGCAAAAAACTTCTGAAATTAAAATATAGACAATTCAAGCTGAACTCCATGCTTTGTAACTTTCTAACTTCCAGCTCACCCTTTTAAAGCATAACCAGGTTTATTTATTTTTGTTAGCGTTATGTAAGACAACAGATTTATTTGATTATAGGTGAAATCTGTGATGGGATAACACCCTAGACTCCTAAGCATGCAGTTTGTGCAACGCTGCTATTCGTATATATGCAATTTAAACAGCCAGTAATATCACTTACTGCCAAAGCCTGCTAGCAGAGATTAATTTCTAATAGTTAGCTTGGTTTTGTTGTCTTTTTTTTTTTTTAAAAAAAAAAAGTCCTACATTCAAAGCCTACCTTATTAGGCTTTGTGAAAGGAATTTGATCGGAGAGTTTGGAAAAGCTCAAAGGCTGCAGCCTAAAGAAACTCTAGTTTCCTGGGTCTCAGAGTAATTCTAGAGCTAAAGTGGTGATAAACATCAACTTTAGATCAGATAATACATGCCAACAATCATCACTGACCCAAGAACACATTTTTCTGTCCTACCTATGGGTTTCAAATCAAACACCATAGAACCCAGAACATTTTCTTCTTAAAACAGGATGTTTTAATAACGTAAACCAGGTAAATAGTGTTAACTTACTTGTAACACTATATAAATATCTCTTCCCTGAGACTAGACTAGAAGTATACTGCACAAGCAAACCAGCAATTGTTTACAAGCATTTGAACCTCTACATACTATTTCTGCTGCCGCTTACATAAGAAGGAAAAAAGACTAGATGGTGAGAAATTAAATCTACAATGGAGACTGCTATGGTGAAAAAAGATTGACAATATTTTTTTTCCTCAAGGAAGGGGCACGCATCAGATAAAACGTGTAGCAGACTGCTATGACGTTTTAGCTATACAGAAAAAAAGCAGATTTGAAGAACACAGTGAGAACTAGCTACTATAACATGTCATTTGCATAGTACTAAAATGTAAACATGCTAGTTAGACACCTTTATGTAAAACACATTTGTGTAATATTACCTAATTATGTTGTAATACGTAGCAACTGTACGTATTATACATGTATATATATGTATACACGCAACAGTAAGAGACACGCTTTTGAGCATATATATATATATATAATTACTCTGGCCATACACATCTTTCACATCTCAATATACTCTATTGAGAGCTTATAAAATTCAGAATTAATTATATACAGAATTACAGCAAAACTTATAGCTAAGAAATATTTCAAGATGACTGTTACATAATTTTTCAAGAATGCAAAGTCACCAGTAAATGAACATTACCATCACAACTTCATCAAATCTGACAATTTTTAAAGAAGTGACACAGCTAAATCCTAATATTTTGTTCATTATACTTTTTTAAAATAAGGTACTGAAATAGTTTTTGCCATTAATATCAAATAGCACCTGGCTCCTAAATCTGCCGTCATTAAAATTATTAATTACAAACAGTTGTTTCTACAGTTACCCTGTTACTTTTACCTGGACAGCACTCAGGGTATACAGAAGATGAGGATCATGACCTATGCTGGCACTTATTCCACCACATTCATGTTGACAAGATTTGATGAAATCCAGAATTTCTTCTTTGTTCATTCGGTGCAGCTGTCCCATGAGATCCATGGCTGTCAGCCCCCAGTAAACACCACTCATCCTCAAATACTCCGACATACAGTACTCCTAAGAAGTGCTTTATTTTAGTTCTTAATCAGATAAGTACATCATCAAAATAGGAAATGAAATGAAAGTACATTTAACATTTACAGTTTTTAATATGCTAAATATTTTCCATCCCATAAAAAACTTCGTATGTAGCAAGCCCCCATACTCCATATGTTAGGTATGTTTGTGCATATACTTCATTCACCTCCTTCCCTAGATTTTCTAGTTTATGGCCATCAAGCTAAATGCCAAGTTAAACATATTCAAGTAGTAAGCCACCAGTTCACTTCAGATCATGCATTATTATCTTGGCATCCATGCTACCACTCAAGTCACCACCCAACAAGTCTCAAAATTAATAAATCTATCATTTAATGAAACTCCCCGACAAGTGCCACTACCTGAACTTTCACTAGAAATTGACTTTTTACCTAAACATTGGTTACATCACCTATACTACCTGTAAGCATTACTCTTTTCGTGCAGTTTTTTTAGGTGGCATGTATAACTACAGGAACAATGTTAAGGTATTCTGTGGACAATAAAGATAGCTGTAACTTTTCTTTCTCCCAAACATAAGCAGTTATTGACATTTTTCACCAAATGGAATCCAACTCCCGTGGGTTGCATCCAATGACTGACACCTACAGAATTGATGCTAGTTGAAGTGTTCATCAAGCCCAGTCAGCATAAAGCCGTGCTGTGCTAAGACTCAGTACACTGTCCTATGACGCAGACACATGCAAACATACATATACTCCTTGTGCATTCTAAAGGAAGAAGGAGCAACAAGTAGTACGCTTCCAAGGTCTCAGAGTAATTCTAGAGCTAAATCAATAATCTTCAGATTTATGCTCAGATAATACATGCCAAAACTCATCACAGACCTGGGAAAATCAATAAAGCGTTTTTCCTTACACTTTGGATTGCAGGGCAATGAACAATTGGCACGTGAATACACATTTAATCCATACTCAAAATGAGTAAATAAGGCTGATTACTACTGTTAATAAAACCACAACTGTGCTAAAACAAATTGGTACCTACATAATCATCTTTCTTTGTCCCATACGAAGCTATGTAGTCTGCATGTTTCTCCCAAAGTAACGTGCTCGGGGCATCAGGTTTTATTACAACATCCTTCTGCGGTGTCCCCTTTAGAAAGTACCAACAAAGGGTCAGTTGTATGGCCAGTTCAAGACATTATAGCATCTCTTGGCGTTTAGGTATAGCTTAGTCAACTCGTAGCAGAAAGCAATACTTCCTGGTGTACTTTGAGCATGGGGTCGATCCCATCTCGCTCCTGGCACTTCTCCGTCCGGCTAAATCCTTCCTAGAGGAAGGGGGCTAACAGTTTTTTTTCAATAACGCCAAGGAAGGCCGTCAGTTTACCAGCGATAAACTCAACGCGCAAAACGAGCCCTTCACCACGCGCCGTAGGCCGCCGCGCCCCTAAGGCGATTCCCAGGCCCGACACAGGCCCCGAGAGCCCGCAGCGCCGGGCCGCCGCCCGGGGCAGCCCTGCCGCGCTCGGCGCCGGGCCATCACCGGGTCCGCCTCGGGCGGGCGCCAGGCGCGCTCCCGGCCCGCGACACCCCCGGACTCGGAGCGGCGAGCGCCAACGGCGCCGGCCCCGAAGCCCGCAAGGCCGCTCGCCCGCCCCGGCCCCGCGGTAACGCCGAGCAGAGGCGCTGCCAGGAAGCCGCGCGCGCCACCCCAAGGGCACCGCCACCTTCGACGCGGGCTCGCTCGCCGCCGCGCCGCGCCCGACACCCACCATGCTCGCTGCCCGCGCCGGAAAGGGCGCTGCGCCGCGGGGCGGGGCATCAAGTAGGGCCCGGCGAGGCCCCCCGGTAGCTGCCCGCGCGCTGCCGCCCGGGCCGCGCGCCAACGGCCCCGCGCGCCCGGGCCGAGGCCACGCCAGGGGTACGGCAGGGCAACGCCGCCTCGGGGCCGGCCGCGCGGAGACCCTCAGCTGCCCGAGCCTAGCGCGGCCGCTCCCGGCGGGGCGGAGGCCGTTCCGGTCCCCGTGGCGGGCGGGCAGGGCTGCGGCGAGGACCCGCGGGCGGGGCGGGGCGGGGCGGAGCGGGGCGGTCGCCTGGTGCCGAGGCCGAGGCCGAGGCCGGCTCTCGCTACGGTCGGCTGAGGCAGCCGGGTTTGGCGTCTGGGCGGTGGCGTTCGGGCTCGCCGCAGCCAAAGGTTATCTTGAAGCAACGCTGGGCGTAAATCTGCAGCGTGGTCATTCCAACCGCGCACTTTCTTGCGTCGAGGTAAGCACAGCAAGTATTTAGAAATAACTTCGGTTTCCGTCCGGCACCTCGGTTCTACGGAAAAGCAAATGCGAGTATTGGGTTACCACAGGACAGGTATAGGAAACGTTCATTCATTCAAAAAACAAATGAACAAACAAACCTTTGCTTCATACTTAAAACCGATATGACCATGCTGTTAATTACAACTGCACCAAAAGAGGAGTGGGCAGCAGTCTGAGGGAGGTGATTGTCCCCTCTACTCTTATGTTGCGAGGCCTCGCTTGGAGTGCTGCATCCAGGTCTGGGGCCTCCAGCACAAGAAAGATGTGGAGCTGCTCGAATGGGGCCGGAGGAGGGCCACAAAGACGATCAGAGGGCTGGAGCCCCTCTCCTATGAAGAAGGGCTGAGAGAGCTGGGGCTGTTCAGTCTGGGGAAGAGAAGGCCCTGGGCAAGAAGAGAAGGCATGTTATTGCAACTTTTCATTCCCTGAAGGGGTCTTATAAAAAATACGGAGAGCAACTTCTTAGTCAGTCAGATAGTGACAGGACAAGAGGGAATGGTTTTAAACTAAAAGAGGGGAGATTTAGATTACAGGTTAGGAGGAAATTCTTCCCTTAGAGGGTGGCGAGGCACTGGCACAGGTTGCCCAGAGAGGTTGTGGATACCCCATCCCTGGAGGTGTTCAAGACCAAATTGGATGAGGCCCTGAGCAACCTGATCTAGTAGGTGGCATCCCTTCCTATGGCAGGGGGGTTGGAATTACATGGCCTTTAAGGTTCCTTCCCACCTGAGCCATTCTATGTTTGATTTGAAGGCACATGTGGGAGACAGAACCATATCGGGCTGCAACAGCATTTTGAGACCATCCAAGAAAAATTATGTATAATGCTTAACCAGGATGCTACATTGTTAATCTTCCTGTGGTAAATAGGATGATTTATAATGCTTAAAAATTATTTAAGGAACTAATTTCCCAGAAGGCCTACCTGCGAAATAAGCAATGCAAAACTCATACCTGTGGACAACAATTGTATCATGTAGCACTAAATTCAGGTAACAGATGAATTCAGGTAACGGATGAAAGACCACACTGAAGCAAGAACGTTTTGGTGAGAAATTGCAAATGAATTGACCCCTGTTGGGGTTTGAAGGCACTTCTGGAGATCATCTAGTGCAGCCCTTATGCTTGCTTAAGCAGGGTCACCTAGAGCAGGACCACATCCAGTTGAGTTTTGAGTATTTCCGCAGGTGGAGATTCCACAACACTTCTGCGCAACTTTCTGCCAGTGTTTAACCACCCTCACTGTTTAATAATGTTTTCTTCTGTAACATTTACAAATACGGTTTCATTCCCATTTGAGTTGAAGTTCTGCTTATACAAACCTTGTATTTCTCTTAAACTCCTACATCTCCGCTTGAAAGGGAAATAAAAAGTATTAATTTTTGGTGAGTGAATTAGGATGGTTTTCCAGGTACTATTTACTATTTGCTTACTGAATGTGTCTGATTAAATATTCCTTGACTTTCTACAAATGTTACTGTTTCTTTACAAACCAAAATGGGCTAAGCTGTGAGTAGACGTTAAAAAAAAAAAAAAAAAAGTTTAAGAACATTCTACAACGTAGCTGTTATACTTGCATGCGTTATTGGTTCCTCTGTCATTCTTCGTAAGTGTTTTTTCTGCTGCTGCTCGTTTCCTGCAGTGCTTACTTGTATTTGCTGAAATAAAATATTTAGACCATTAATTAATCTTTTTTTTTTTAAGTGCACAGACTGTAGCTTAAAGGAGGTAAGAAAAAGTTGAACTTTCTCCTAGGGAATTTGCTTCAATAGCAGTTTGAACCCTTGTTCATCCATAAGCTAACTCTTCCCATAATAAGGCACACTTCAAATCTGCTACAGCCAAGACCACCTACAGTGGGAATATTTCATTTACTAAAATGGGTTTAAAGTGAAACATATCAGCGATTTACTCAGAGTAATTATGAAAAACACATTGCCCCATAACCTTTTGATTGTGCACTTTGTTTAATAAGACATTCCCATGCAAACTTTTTAAATACAGTTTTCTGACAATAGTAACAGATAGTTTCAAGATTCCACAGTTCCACGGCTACTGTGAGATTAATATGGGACAAGTTGCACAAAATGGTAAAAATGTACAACTTTAATTTTTTTGACTACTTGTAAGAATTTTCGTAAGAGTCCTTTGGAAGAAATAGTTACAAAGTTTCCTTCTGCAGTTCTTTGCACCAGCCTCATTTTTCCTACACTGAATAACTTTGTATTATCAGTAAATACTATCACTTCACTGTTGACCTCCTTTTCCAGATTATTTGTAGATATTCCAAATAGCAAAGACCAAAAAGAAAAGCCATGCTGCTTACTTTTCCCTACAAAACCTGATGATTTTTCAAATTCACTTTGGAAGTTCAAGCATTTTCTATCAACCAAGCATCCCTTGTTCACACATTCATTCGCTGCCTCAGCAAACTCCAATTATTTTATGAGATATGACTTCCTTTGACAGAAACCCTTCTCTAGCACATCACATTTATCTGTGTCCAATATTTCTGTATTTCATACTTGCACTTAGTTTGCGTGGTTTATCAGGCTTACTAGTACATATTTTTTCCAGATCTCTCTTGGAGGCCCTTTAAAGCAATGGTGTCCAACTTGCCCCTTGTAAGTTTTCATTTAATAACCAAATGATTCTGCACTGCAGTAGTCCAGCTATTTCACCCTTAAGTTTCCCTAGAATTTGTGGCTGAATAAATGTGATCTTCACAATTGCTCCTTTTGTCTCTTTGTTCCTTAACCTTGTTAATTTAATTTTTGATAGAAGATAAAAGACTGATGAGTCTTGAAAAAAAGACTCCTACAGACAGTTCCCCATTTTCTTTTTCAGATAATATAAATGCAAAATAGAGAATCATTTAACATTTTTTCATGGTTACTCATACATTTAAGCACTGCCAAAGTACTGCTATAGTGTGCCTAATCTAAACAGGAAAACTGTCCTTGAATAAACTCTTAAATTGCTCCAGTCTGTGTCAGAGACTAGATCAAAATATGACCTGCAATTTCTCTGCCTAATCAGTTGAAGCAGCACATGACGGGAACATTAGGCAGCTGTAATCATGGTAGAAAATCTGCTTATGAATTGGTAAATCACGATGATTTAGCAATCATCCTGATTACATCCACACCTACTAATACTCATACGTGTTAACTTTCCTAATGATTAAATTTGGATTATTAATATGCAACCATTTTATGTAGAATCCGTAATTACCCATGTAAATCTAATCTAATGCCTTTTCTTTGTTTTATTTTACAGATTAAAGAGAATGTTTACTTACCACAGATTTCTGGTGTGTATGAATTCATAAGACCAAGTTCACAAGCCCATTTTGTGAGTGGGAGAGGATACTGAAGTAGGAAAAATTACCTTCCAGTTCAGCACAGTTAACATTTTAAATTTTATTCAGATTAAGATAAAAATGTATTTTCCCTGTACTGTATGATAGATTCATCTCTCCAGTTTTGTCGCATTGTGCAGCAACAGGAATAGTGTCCTCCACAACAATTTTATTATGAGCAGCAGCTTGAAACTCTTTCTGCTCGTAAGTTCTATTAAAAAACCAAAAACAAACAAAAAAAAACAGTCAAGAATTCCATATTATCTTTAATTTTGCCAGTTGTCAGACGATGAGAAAAGAGAAAAGCCTCAGTTCCTTCCAGGGCAATTCCAGGGCAATCCAAACCACCACTTCCGGGACCAAAAAACAAACAAACAAACAAAAAATCCAAGTTGGTTACAAAGTTAAGAAGAACACAGGCTATAATGCGTCTCAACATAGTGAAAAAAAGTATTTTCAGAAAATCCTAAAAACATCTGTAAAGTTAAAAGAAGAAATGCAGGAAGACCACTGCTAGGCATAGAAGGAGAAGCTATGGCATAACTGAACGCTGAACTGCTAAGTGATTTTGTTAATAGTTCAGGACTGCGTTTTCCAGTAGGCAACACGTTATTCATTTGGAGTTTTCACGAACCACAGCCATTGAAAAATGGTATCTTGCTTTCTTACTCGAGTTGTGTCACTACTATCACTGTTACAGAGAAGAAGACAAAACAAGAAACAAGAGAGACCTTGTTGCTTCAGAATTTTATACCTTATATAGAAAAAGACAAGATGATGTTGAAAAAAACAGACAGATGATTGTATTCACTTTTTTTTCTTTTTTTTTAAGGAACAGCCCTTGATACAGTCAAACATAGCTTTGCCATCAGATATTTTTGTCTAAACTAGAAAAAGTACCGATTTCAAAATAGTGCTAAAGGTGATATGTCTATGTGAAAGATGCTGTCAACTTTACAATAGAGAACATACATCTGTTGTTTTTTCCTGCCAGAGTCGTATGCAAGGTTAACACTGAAGGTTACTCTGAAAAAAATCATCACTCCCCCCACAAATAGAAATATGAATTGGACAGGTGGGATTCATACTTGGAGTGGCACAAGTGACCAAGTGACAAAGGATCAGTTTTTAACATGTAAGATTTGGGTGACGATCTATTATTCTGTCACCTTTCCCATAGTTTGACTCAGTGGGACATTTAGATTCAATGACAAGTTTACTAGTGACACTCAAATGCAACTACCACAGCATTTCCTTGGTTTAGTACATAAGCTCTGTCACAATCAGAAATGTGACCATTAAAGTGACAAGATCACCACTGGAATAACCTCCTGTCAGGAAAAAGGGTATGACAGGACATGCAAGTGAAGCAATCTTTATTACCTTAATGTCAAAAGAACTACTGAAGTTGTTCACAAAGCTGTACATCACAGAAAAAGATAGGACAACAAAGTAAGGTCACTAACCTTGATTCTCCATCACATAACTCAGGACAAAAAATCAGGAGTTGTCAAAAACAGTTTGTTGCTGGGGTAATATGTCAGGAAGCTGGACTTGAAATACCAATCTCCTATGGTACGCATTAACTGTCTGTGGGCTTCCCCTTCCTAAAGCATTTTGTTTGATCTGTGAAACACTCAACTGTCTTGAGATGGAGCTTTATTCCATAAATGACACTGTCATGGAAACACTTTTGACATTTAGGCTGTGTCACCCTGGGGCTAGGCCACACTTGTTGATGGTGAGCTCTGGGTGAGGACCCTTCAACTTTTACCTAATTCACAAATGACTCTGGAAATGAGGAAACCAGAAAAAAAAGGCCAGCGTAGAAACTAAACAAGGTACTACCTGAGTTTTGAATCATTTTTACTTTCTGGTTTTAAACTAGGAGGTTACTGGTGGTTCAGTAACTTCTCTGTATAAGCAGTATTTTTACTCTATAGGGGAATGTCAGTACTTCAGAAAAGCAACTTTTATATACCGCACATATAAAAGAACAGCATAGGTAGAACAGCTAAGCACGTTTAAAGAAATGCATTGTATAAAATGTTCTAACTGTAAACCCTGACAATTTGAAGCTGTCTCCGCCATGTAAGTGGGAAGCAGAGGGTACCAGACCTACACATCTTTTTCTAAACACTTCACAGCATGCCTTTTGGTGCACGGAGAGTCCCAGGGCTGTGCAACAACTCAGCTAAAGAATAGAGCATGGGAGACCATGAAGGCTGTAAACGGATCAAAATGCAGAGGCAGGAAAAACAGAACTGAGCGCGGATTTCCTCACGGCCAGGAGTGGGCAGTGACTGCCGGCAGCGAGACGGTCGAGGAGGGAGCGTGGCTCTGCCCTTGGCCCCGCCGAAGGCGCTCCTGTCCCGCGGCCCCTCGCCCTCCAGCGCCGCCGCGGCGTGCGGCCCTTCCCAGCCAGCAGCGCCCGGTCCCGTCTCGTCCTCCCTGGGACCCGCATCCCGTCGCCGCCCGGCCCGGCCCGGCCCGGCCCGACCGCCCTCCCGAGCGGCTCTGAACGCCGGCATCCCGGGAAGAGTGGCCGAGCGGCCGGGGAAGCTCCCGGCGATGCCTGGCGGGGCGGGACTCTCGGAGCGCGGGTGCCAGCGCCGCGCCGGCCGAGAGCCCGGGTGCGGAAGGTCCGCGGGCTCGGGGCCGGGGCCGGGGCCGCCTCTCCGCGGTGCTCCCCTCGGCAAGCCCGCAGTGCCCCCGCCTGGAGCGTCGGGTGGGGGCTGGCAGGCTCTTGGCGGTCCGGGCCGCGGCGGAGGGCGGCGGGGAGACGGAGGCGAGGGTGCCGCGGTGTGTACGCGCCCGGCCGTGGTCGCTGAGGCCCTCCTGCCAGCTGTGGCGTTTACCTACGCTATGGCGCGTTCCGTCGCCTTCCAACGCCTGCGAAGTGCGGCGGCCTGATGGCGAGAGAGAGCCCATTTGCTCTCTGTATACCGAGTCTCCTGGGCTGTTTCCAGCCACCTACATCTTAGCCCTGTTACCAGAAAAGTCCTTGTGGCCGATTTATAGGGACCCATAACTTTATATTTTAGATATGTACCAGGCTCTTGGGCATGACTGGGACTGGGGCATGGGTTTTGCTCAGCCTCAGCTCCTGTCTGTCACAATTTTCCATTCTGTGCACAAACCACAGCATGTACCTGGGACTGGTCTCATTCCAATAACTTACCAACTCCTTATTAAAGAAGAACAAAGTCTACTGGCTTAGCTAGGCTTTTAAAACTTGAGTTTAGTACAAACATGAACTTTAACACATTTGAGATGTTGTAGTGATGTGTATATCATGTTGATAGCCATGTAAAATGTGTTTATGAATGCTGTCAGTTCTGGCTGTATGTTGAAACAAAAGCACTGATTTTGTAAATTAACTGCAATGTATAAAATACAGTCTTTTGAACATTATTGCTTCACTGCAATAAAGCAATGTTACCTAGGGTTTTATTAAAATAATGCTTTCAAGAGAGAAGTAGCTTCTTTGATGTCTCTGTGAATGACCTTGTTTGGAATATATATATATATAAATTTAATTACTCTAATATAAGACACTTCTCTGGGAGCTGTATTTTGGATAATGCTTTATTTTGCAAAACAGCTCAAAGTAAGGTGACCCAAATATTTTTAGCACTGTTATTGTCTTGGTATGTTTGATTCTTGATGTCTTGTTTTGTTACTGACAGTTACAACTCTTGAATAGGTACTTATTACAGCAAAATCACTTCAGTAGGAAGCAAGCCGTGTAAGAGTGTTGTTTTTTTTTTTTTTTTTGTTTGTTTGTTTGTTTTCATAGATATCAACTAATGAAACAGGGGATGGTTGCAATGTTGCATAGCATTTATCCTGGCACAATTCCAGGTCTTTACTGAATGGAGTCGTGTCAGTAGCGTCAACTTAGTGCACAGACTACTGGTTTTTCATTCCAATATCAGTGGATTTTTTCCCTGTACTTCAAGGGTAATTGAGGAAATGTCATAGGCATAATTTTTAACTTTTTGCTACCTGGGTGCTTCATAAATATTTTTTATGTACTTCCTGTTTTAAATCTAGTTTAAAGTACACTGTACCATTGGATTGTGTGGCTATGGGGCTTTTAAATACCAGCACTCAAGCCTGTGTTCTGTGCTCCTTTTTGTATATAGGGTTCTGTTCCATAGGTCATGTTTCTGACTGTGGTGTGGAGAATTAAATACCAAACAATACACTTTCTATTCATATATTGCATATCTGTTATTTATATGGTTTCTGTATTCCATTAACTTGGTATGCCTTAGATGGTTTATCATTACAACAGCCCCGTGGTATAAGGAAACATATTCAACCTATTTTAAAAAATAATAATTTTGGTAAACAGCATGTCTTTTACTATGGGCATTCTAAATAAAATTACACACAAAACAAAATTCTAAAGGTGGGTAGATGGCTTCAGAATCTATATTAAAAGCTAATGTCATAGGAAATATATACTGTCATAGGTGTTAAGCAACTCTGGCTGCCTGAGTCAGGTACCTGAACACCTGTAAGGATGTTACACACTACATGTATTTACTAGCTGCAGGACGGTATTTAAATTCTATAGTGCTCAGAATTGAGACATTATTTCTAGGTGCCTTCTAGATTAGGATCCACAACCCTTCATTAAGTAAATAATGTTGTCTGCACTGAGGTTAAAAGAGAGCTTGGAATGGGGTTGAAGACATTCCTAAGTCTGAGAGACTGACTAAATCAGTACACTGAAGGAATGTTCACATTAGGATCATAGAATAGCAGAACGGTTTGTGTTGGGAGGGACCTTAAAGACCATCTGGTTCTAACCCCCCTGCCATGGAACCTCCCACTAGATCAGGTTGGATGGGGTTTTTGCACAGCCTGGTCTTGAATACTTCTAGGGATGGGGCATCCACAGCTTCTCTGGGTGACCTCTTCCAGTGCCTCACCACCTTCATGGTGAGGAATTTCTTTTTATATTTAACTGAACCTACTTTTTTTTTTTTTTTTTTTTTAAGTTGAAAACCATTACCCCTTGTCCTGTCACTACCATCCCTGATAAAGTCTCTCCTCATCATTTCTGTAGGCCCCCTTTAAATGCTGAACGGCTGCTATAAGGTCTGCTTGGAGCTTTCTCTTCTTTAGGCTAAATAACCCCAACATTCTCAGCCTTTCTTCACAGGGGATTCGTTCTGCATTAGGAGTCTCCTTTGTTAGGAAATAATGCGGACTAATGCTATTGGATTTATAGGGTAAAATAGTGAGATTCAAGTACTACTAAGCATTTGGGAGGGTTTTTGCTTTGGGCTGCACTGAATACCCCCTAGGGAGGGTCTGGAGCTCATCAGATGCACTCCTAGAGCATGTCCAGCTAGTTTAATCCAAAGTTCAGTTAATGTGCTTTGATATGTCTTTGTGAACTGCGAACTAGGGGAGCTCGCCCGGCCGCTCAGCACGGGCCGCCCGGACAGCTCCGCCGGGGGCCGCGGGCGGGAGGCGCTTCCCGCGGCCGCTCCGGGGCCGGCGAGGCCAAGGCCGAGGCAGGAGCGGCTTCAGGACGGCCCAGGTCCTACCAGCGGCAAAACCTCCAGGCTACGGGCACGGGCCAGGAAAGGGGGAGCCTTCTCCGCCTTGACTGCGGCACGGGCGCCTGCCGCGCCCGCCGCAGCCGAGCGGAGCCGATCCTGCCGCTGCTGCCCGTCACGTTCCGCGGGGCAGAGCGCTCCTCCCGGCAGCGCCAGGCGGCGGGGGAGAGCCCGCGGGCCTCGGCAGGGACAGCGGCCGCTGCCACCGGCTGCCCGAGTCGCCGCCGGGGCCGGGCGCAGGCGGGGCCGGCGAGGGGCGGCGGGCAGGCGGCCGGCTGCGGGCCGTCCTGCGGCCCCCACGCCTGCCCTCGGCGCCCCCCCTCCGCCCGCCGCCCCCACCACGGCTCGGGCACCGCCCCCGCGGGCTCGGCGCAGGCGTCGGCCGTGGAGCCGGCGGGACGGGTGGGCCGGCGCGGGGCGCGGGCGGAGCGGGAGGCTGCCCGGCCGCTGCCTCCTCTCATGCCTTCACGGCAACAAAGAGCGCGCTGAGCGGCGGACGCAGGCGCCGGGCTGCCGGTTGCGCTGCCAGCGCGGAGGGCGCCGGGAGACGATGGCGAGGAAGGGGGAAGCCTCCGCGCCTCCCTACGGTAAGCGCCCGTGCTCGGGGGAGAGGCGGAGCGGGCGCTCGTGCGAAGAGAGCTGGATCCCGTGCCACCCTCCGGCCTATTCACGGAGCGGATCCGGCGTGCAGCCAGCGGCGAGAGTTGGTTTCCCTGGGCAGATGCTGGGGACGTGCGTGGGGGTCATGCGGGCCCCGGGCAGCCGGAGCCCCCGAAGGCGCCGGTGCAGCTCTCTGCCGGCGCTGCGGCTCGCCCGGCTGGAGGAAGGCGGGACGGCTGGGCTCGGGGAGGGGAGCCGGCGGGCGCAGAGATGGGGGCGGGCAGGGCGAGAACCTCCTCCTCCCCTTCCTGCAGCAGAGCAGGTGCTGTGCGGCCGCTTTGTCCGCGCCCGCCGGAGAAGCCCGTCCTGGGAAGGAGGAGGCTGCGGCTCACGCCCTGCCGAGGGCCCGCGGGCAGGCCGGCGGGCGGCAGGTGCCGCGCTCTCGGAAGGGCCCGGCCGGTGGGCGCGCGGCGCCCGGCTCGTGGGAGCAGGGGCCGCGGGCCCTGGTGGGCCGTGGTACCGGGACCTGGCGGCGGGAGCCCGTTGCGCTGGTGGCCCCGGTAGGGAGGGTTCCGGTGTTTTGGGCTGGGGACTGGGAGCGCTGCGGCCGTAGCAGAGGTACCCGGACTAAGCAAGATCCGTGCCCTCAGTGGATCCTGCCAGCCCGCGCGTAGGAGAAGGTCACCGGGGGCAGAACTTCATCGCAGTGCTTGAGCCGTGCTCTAATTGCTCTTTGGAAGCTAATGCGTTTGCCACAGAGGAGGCTGGTTTTGCAAAGCTTCTTAGCCTGTTTGAAAGCATTGCTACAAAACCGGTTTCCTTTTCCAAATATACATGAGATTTTGATAGCCAAAAAAAAAAAAAATCTGCAGAATGTGCAAACCCCCTTAGAAACAAGGCTTGTTTTCTGTGAGTCCCAAAGGCTGACTGTAATTGCGGTATAAAAGTGGGCAATAATGGTTTGATAAAACAGTGTTTGCCTTGATATCACCGGCATGTTGTGTGGCATGTGTACTACTTGGAAAACTCAATTTTATAGTTCATCTCTGTGGTCTGAACTGCGATCTAGCTAAAAAAAGAATATTCATAGTTTGGCTTCCTCATTCTTTGGACCTGATGGACAAAGCTGGTTAGTTTTATATATTTAGTTAAATATGTTGTATGCAAAATAAAAATCTCGATCCCTCTCAATAGTAGACTACTATAATGGTGGTGGTTTTGTTGATTATCAAACTGTCCAAAATAGGGAAAAAAAAAAAAAAAGAAAAGAAAAGAAATCTTTATGTAATTAAAGCGACCCAGAAAGAAATTAGAATATTTCTAACCAATCTGGTGGTCTTCTGTGATGGAATTGAGTGCATCAGTTGACAAGGGAAGACTGACTGATGTCACCTGCACGGAATTCTGTAAGGCCTTTGACATGGTCCCACATGACATCCTGGTCTCACATGACATCCTGGTCTACAAATTGGAGAGAGATGGATTTGATGGGTGGACCATTCAGTGGATAAGGAATTGGCTTGAAGGTCATACCCAGAGGGTGGTGGTCAATGATGCTATGTCCAGGTGGAAGCTGGTGATGAGTGATGCCCTCAGGGGTCCATCCTGGGACCAGTACTGGCTAATATCCTTACCAACAACACAGGCAATGGGGTTGAGTGCACCCTCAGCAAGTTTGCAGATAACACTAGACTAATTGGTACAGTCAATATAACAGAAGGAAGGGAAGCCATCCAAAGGGACCTGGATGAGCTTGGGAAGTGGGCCTAAGTGAGCCTAGTGAGGTTCAACAAGGCTAAGTGCAGGGTGCTGCACCCGGATCAGGGCAATCCCAGACATGAGTACAGACTGGGAGTAGAACTCATTGAGAGCAGCCCTGAAGAGAAAGACTTGGGGGTTCTGGTGGACGATAAGCTTGACATGAGCCAGCGGTGCATGCTTGCAGCCCAGAAGGCCAACTGCATCCTGGGCTTCAGCATCAGAGGAGTGGGCAGCAGTCTGAGGGAGGTGATTGTCCCCTCTACTCTTATGTTGCGAGGCCTCGCTTGGAGTGCTGCATCCAGGTCTGGGGCCTCCAGCACAAGAAAGATGTGGAGCTGCTCGAATGGGGCCGGAGGAGGGCCACAAAGACGATCAGAGGACTGGAGCCCCTCTCCTATGAAGAAGGGCTGAGGGAGCTGGGGCTGTTCAGTCTGGGGAAGAGAAGGCCCTGGGCAAGAAGAGAAGGCATGTTATTGCAACTTTTCATTCCCTGAAGGGGTCTTATAAAAAATACGGAGAGCAACTTCTTAGTCAGTCA